AGTGATGGGAAAAAGGTGCATTCCTCCCTCTGCACATGCTCGTGAAGTAAGAGAGCAGGGAGATATCAACTAGACCCTCCAGAAAGTAAGAGCAGTCAAAACAGGGACCTCTGCATATCCTAAGAATATCCAGCAGTGCTGATTGTGCTTCCTCTGCTGTGATTGCTCCCATCTTTGCCATTCCCCTTCATTTCTCTGTATACTTCCTATTTTTGCTCTTTTTCCTTAGCCTTTCTCAACACTTTTCTTTTTTCTTTTCTGATTTAAATTGGTGCAAAAAGAACGTCGACATTCCCAAAGAAATACTTCAGTGTTATCTTATACCACAAAGCTTAGTCCTGCATGACTGTAAATAGATCAGAAGGAGCAGTAAATGTAGCTCTGTAGCAATTAATTCCACTGATCATCCTGCTTTTCTGTCATCAACAGGACATATAGTACTGATGCAGCTAAAAACCACATTTCATCACCTTTATTTACCTAGTTCAAATGACCACATTTATGGTTAGGTTGACTATGGCGGTCTAAAGTAATGACAGACTCCCTGGCTTCATAGCAGATCACTATGCTTACCTGCTCTGCATCATGTCCATGTGGTCTAACTTACTGAGCAAACAGCACTAACAGAGTCTTCTCAAATTTAACATTCATTAAGAACTTTCCCAGACACAGAGTTTCCAGTGGCTAATATATTTATTAACTAATCTGAAAGCACAGAAGTTCTGTAGGAAATAATATTTTAACCAAGTAGGATTTATTTTCTGTCGAATACTAGAGAATAGGTTCTATTATGGACAAAGAATTGATTATAGAGCAGTACCTAAGCATGGTTTTGACCAGTAGCTTGGAAGATAAAATCACGGGTAGCTGCCAGAATTCATATACTGTAAGAATAAGAAATGCTGAACTCACAAAAGAGATACACAATTGTATATATTTAACACTGACACACTTCATTTTCCTGGAGTACTAAAGTAGCCACAAATCCTGTAAAAGTGCTGAGCAAGAAAGTGGGTAGACCAATAGATTCAACACAATGTCGATACTAATACAGCCCAACAGTGATATGAATTGAGTCTGATGGAGGCATGACACGGCAGAGAGGACACAGGATCAGAGCCATTATTTCTATTCAGAATCTACCCAGGGGGTTCACTAACAATATTCTGCTGGTGGAACATACACAGCTCTCCACTCAGCATTTTAAACTGTGTACATAAGTAACTTTTATACAAATATGTACCGGAAAAAAATCTGCTAGAATATTTATAGCTTCTGTTCCTCACCTGTGCTTTTGAAATTCCTATACCATAAGCTTGGAAGAAAGTAAATTAGTCATCATTAGTACCAAAAAAATGATACTTCTGCACTTCTAATATAAATATTTTCATGTATTAGAAAAAAAAGACAAAATATCATTTATCAAAGATTGCAATTGTATTAGTCCTTCAAAAATAATTCTGTTCAATGGTATCTCTTTTATTGCAATTCTCCATTTGGATTAAAGTCTGTAAGAGCTAATAAGGTAGCAGCTTTTGTTTAGCCAGTTCAGAACTGACAATGATACTACTAAATTAAATTGTAAAAAAACAGGGCATCTTTTCTCATGTAATCAAGACTTCTCCATGTGCCACTTAAAGCTAGACGAGCAGCTTAGGAGCAATCATAGCCCACTGCGGTCAGATGAAGGCTTATTATCGGCATAACTGGGGTGAGAATATTGCCCAGTTGTCAGACAAGAAATGTAAGAACACGTTTGCCTTTTACCTTGTAACAGTCAGATCTTGCAGTCTGGACATTGCTGAGAGTTTTAGTGTGCAAGGACAACCGGGTTTTATTTACTTATTCATTCATTTACTATAGACTTTTCAATGGTATATACACTTCCCTGAGCACATTAACTACGTCTGTAAACTATTAAAGATGGGGATCACATGGATTCTTATGGAAATTACATTTTGTTTAAGATAGGCCTCTCCAAAAAAGAAATCAATCAAGAGAGACATTCACCATGCTCGGAGTGAGGTAATCCGGCTTCTTACAAGATGATAAAGCTGTTACAGACCTAGGCAGCCCCCACAAAAAGATGGGAGACTGCATACGGGAATAAAGGCTTGCTGTACAGAACCCACATTCATGACCTCAGCTGACTGATTCCCAGTCTATAAAAATTATGTTACATGGTGATTATATGTCCTCCGAGGAAAACTGAGTATTTGAAAAGAAAGTGGTTTACCAAACCTTCCCTCTCCTTCTCCCAGGAATTTATAACAATACAATTCAAACTTGTATGTAACACAACTTAATGGCATCAGCTCAAAACAAGAGAAAATCCAATACAGAAATAAATAATCATGAAAAGCATCCCCAGTCAAGAATCTCAAATCGAACAATGCGTGGCAAGTCTACAAACACAAAAGCTGTTTAAAGTACCTCAGTGGCTTTGAGGTGACAGCTCTTATTCATACAGCTGATAGCGCAGGAAGTTTTCACTGGAGCCTGAAACAGACATTCAGCCTCTTGCAAGGATAGTAAGTGTCTGTGTAAAGAGAATGGAAGCCTTTCCTTTCTTAGTTTACCCCAAATTTCATCAGCCTGCTTGTCTACACTACTGAATACTCCACAGATAGACTGCAGAAGTGCAGATAACAAAATTATAATGTTCCTTCTCCCAGTTAACTAAATCCAGCTGTCAGTTTAGATTAATAAATTTTTATAAATGTTTTTATATATGTGTAATAGAGTTTCTGCAAGCTGGAGTTTAGGGATGAACTTTTAAAATTGGATATAGGATGATAATCAACTATCTCCTTCCTAAATATGGTTCAAATTCCAGGGGTGCTGAATATCCACTGTCATATATCATCTGGAAGCAACTCAGTTTTCTTCTAAAATCCTCAAGCTCCTCCAGAAACTCCCAACAGATGAGGCAGGCCTCACCGGTCCAACATGAGCGTGTTGCAGATGAGGTGTGGAGCTCAGCATGATCCACGCTGTCTCTGTAATATGCCAGCATGGGCATTTTTGCACTGTGCATCTAACATTGGAGCTTAAGGATGCAGCTGGACCCAGCAATGCAGGGAATATTGCCAGTTTTCTGAAGTATGGCTCGGGCACAGTGTCTGAGAGCTGCAGCCCCAGGTTATATTGAAAGTAACATTTAGAGTGGAATAATATTTCAGAAGTCTCAGATGCATGGTTCTTTGACCACGCTTTTATTTTCAAAAGCAGTGGGGAACGCAAGTGGTACAGACCCAGGAAGGATAAAGTACAAGGATCCTAAACTATGAGGAAGACAAAGATGATTGTTCTACAGGCATCGCTCCAGTAAATAAATCTATAATACATTACCATGTGGCAATTACACCTGGGCAGCTACATCTAAAAATACTCAGCACCATCAGGGCTTTCTACTGAACAACCCAAAATCCATCTACTTACGCAGCATAGACTGGAAAAGTTTGGTATTTCACTCCTGTTGCTTTATATTCAAAGTTATTTGCTTACTAATAGGGCAGACATGTTAATTATGTGGGTGTCTCAAACTACTTACCAAAAGGATTCATCTCTGGGGTGAATCTGTGCAGCTCCATTAAAGGTCATGAAATCACACCAGCTGAATATGCGCCCTACACTAAAACCATTGACTGTAAATGAAGCCCAAAAATGGCCTAAACTTTGTGCTAACAAGGCAATTAGCACAGTCCAGCCCTGCTTCAGTTGGTAATTACAATTTCACTACCGATCTTCAGAAGCCACGTGGATTTTATCCACAGCACATAAAACTTCACATCATAAGTCTCCCACTGAAAGGGGTGAGATTATTTGGGTGTAAAGAACTATATGAGGGCAACTGCTACAATCTAGTACAACTGGATGATGATGGGCCACCATGTTCAGCAAAATTTATGTCTTACAGGGAATGGGAAAGTTGTTTAAGCAATCTATTATCATTCAGGTCTCAAAAGATTCATTTAAACAGTAGAAGACAGGAATTCGTATTTTATATACAAATTGGACTTGTATCCTCTTCCTATCTACATTATTTAACACACCATTTAATATATATTCTCATGTCAATCAATGAGGACAGCAAATATGACAGCTGACCAGATATGCACTGAGTTTTATTAATTTAATCTTCGTTTCCCAGGCTTATCAAAAAGATATATGTACCTCAAATATTTGATATTGTAACCTTTACATAATACTGATACTCTCACGAATCCCTCTGACTTCTGTATACACGTAACCAATGAAAAACTACAGCAAAGGAAATTAAGATAAAGTATTTGTGAGAGCTAACATATAAAACTTAACCTGCACCTGAGACACAAATTATTTTTAAAACGAAAGTCAAAAATACTGTTAAAAATTTGTTCTGTCATTTGCTCCCAGATACAAACCTCAAATGACAGAATATGCAGAGCTTGTTTTGTACATAGTTTTTACCCATTAACAACTCTACTCCAAACTAAGTAGCACTGGGACCATGATTGCTCCCAGTTCTGCAGCATGCACTCTAGCAGTATACAGTCAAGTACGTTTTTAAATGTGCCTATGTCTCTACTTATAGGACTTCAAGAACAGGGAGTAATGTGACACATTTTCAGCATTTGAAGAACAAAGCCTAAACTTTCTACTGAGAGGATATTTCTCATAAAAGATGCCCTGATCCTTGTCTTATAAAAAGGTTTTATTTTTCAATAGAAAAGTATATTTAAAAACACAATTATCTGCTAAAAGCAATATAAAACTCTCCAGTTTTAACTTCATAAAAGTTTAACAAAACATAAATATTGTTTACCACTTACATTCCTATATACACATCTTGCATTAGATAGTTAAATAGGTAGAGAGATAATAACTCAGAAATGAATGGCACATGACTACATGAGATAAAAATTCCATGTCACACTGCACAATCACAGGAACACAAGGAGCAGCTTAAAATCCTCAGTCACTGAATTCTGCTTTGTTCTGCTTTGTTCTCTTTACGGCTATGTTCCTCTTTTCTCTGCAATAATGCACCAGTTTCCATGGTCATAGCAGGAAGAAAGTATCTGAAGCTCAGGCACGTTCTCTTCTACCAGAGAGCACAGTTCCCCTTCCCGAAAAACATGATAATAACGCATGAAGGCTTTTGTATCCAACGTGGCATCAGTTTGGTCCCCAACAGACACTGCTGAATCCAATGCAGAGTCAGTGGAGTCAGTTGTTGAAGTTCTTTTGAAAAACTTGCTGGCATTAGACTTACCAGCACCATCTTTATTACAATCGCAGCTGTAGTCCCTGTCTCCCACTGGGCCATTTATAAATGAAGCTTCTTCACTCTTGCTCTGAGCTACACTTTGGTGTCCTCCATTTAAACTTAAATCCTTTAGTGCATCTGTGGCTGGTGACCACTCTTGTTTTTTGAGAGGCAGACTTTCCACGAACACATCATCATCTAAACTTTGTTCTTTTAACAGTGTCCCATGGTGACCTAAATCCAAACTGCAGTGTCGTGAATGCTGAATGGGTACAGTACTGTTTGCCCATTCTCCTTCATTCTTCAGAGGCTTCATTTTGTCAGTTTGCTTTCTAAGGGCTGATTCATCAAGGGAGCTGGAGAAAAACCATGAGCGGAAAGATCTTCCTAGAGCACTGTAAAATCTGTTTTCTTCTTCAGAAATTTTCATGCAGCAGGCTCTGGATAAGCAATGGTCCGTATTGTGGGAACATTTTGAATCAGTTTCTGGCTGCAGATTGGTTTGGTAGCTGCAATCAGAGATGACTAGCTGTGCAGGGTGTATGTCTCGGCTTTTTACAGCATGCACAAACTCACCTTTATCTCCAGATTGATTCGATTCTGAAAAATGCCGTGAGCACAAGGCCTTGTTCCAAGGAACAAATACGTCTTGTTTCTCAAAGCGACGATTCTTTTGTTCCATAGCCCAAACATAAATCATCATCTGGCCTCCGGGTATCAATACCCTTGCCATTTCCTTTATTGCTTTGATTCTTCTTTGTTTAGTTGAGAAATGATGGATCACTGCAAAAAAGGAAAGGCATTATGTATTGAATATTAGTAAGGACACAGCATTTTCATCTTCAACCTGTTCTATGTGTTAGTCATTTTAGTTGCCATATCCCAAATATCACTCAGTACAAGCCAGCAACAGTGCTGAATGTATTGGTGCCACAGTGCAAGTTTACCCCAGAATGATCTCTTTTACATTTAAAAATAGGAAAATCCCAGAGAAGGAAATTTCTCTCATCTCAAAATAGGGATTCAAGAAAAGTCAGGCATATAAGCTGGAGGTTTCTGTTCCTCTACATCACCCATAAAAGATCATAACACGACTACCTTTCACTTAAATGCCTGGCCTTTAGGTGAGTTAGGTAATATTAAGTTTGACTTTAGTTTTTGGGACACTTTTCAGACTTACCTTACTGAAAACAGAAAATCTTTTCACCATGTAACAAATACAGTAAAATGTAATATCAGTAAAAAGATACTCTGTATTTTTATATAAGTGCACTTTCAAAAGAGATAGTGAGAAAATTTAGACAGAAATATTTTCCATTGCTTTAATTTTGTAGAAAGGTATTGCGTTCATAGATTGTTTTGGAGGAAAAAAAATGAGAAGTATCTCAGTCTACATTGCATGTCTGAGAATGATGATTTTTTGTTACATTATGTTATGCTGTTAAAAAAAATAGTGAGATTCAAAATAAAACTATTGATCACTATATTTGAATTTTCTTTCCAGGATAATTTCCATATTTTCAAATTTCACTGCAATGTGAAATGAAGCTACATTTCAAGATATCCATACTGTTTCTATCTTCCTATTCACCTGAAGGAACTAATTTTAACAGCCAGAGAATAGCTAAGTCAGCTATTTTCTCTCTAAACTCTCAAAAACATTAACTTCTACTGAGATTGGTCATGTTGGTCATGTTGTTCTATATATCATCAGTACCAGATCTTGTTCAAATCAATGATGTAAAGAGGACTGATTCCATAATTTGTTTCAAGTGGACTTGGAGCCAGCTACTTCTACATGCAAAATATTCAATCTACCCATATAACAACTTATAATGTCGTTATATGTTCTTAGTATATGTTCTTAGCTGAAGACATCTCCATACCTTCCGAAAAATTAGATTATCTTTATATGTGCTGCTTGACAGTAGCCAATTCTACTTGTAGAAATAGTGTTATTTCAACACCGCAGTTATGAAAAGTGAAAGAAAAGCATTCTTGGCAGTTGATATCAACTAGGCCTTCACAAGCAGCTGGGAACACAAGACAGATAGTAAACTCTGAGAAGAGTTCCCCAGTCTATATGGTCAGTGTTTATTTCCAGGTACTCCTAACTCTTGTCAGTATTTTCTCAAACTTCGCAAAAAAAATATAAAATACTATTTCAATTTCCTTAACAAGGTGGGGAGAAAGGAACTGATATTTTATCTCATACTGGAGTTAGGCCATATATCACCACAAAAAAATATCAAAACTGACAGAGACAGTATAAGCATGTGAGTTTATTTCACCAGAAAGAAGTGCCAACAGAATCTGTGCAAGCTCTATCTAAGCAATACATTTAATGGGTTAAATATTCTTCATAGTTAAAATTATATAATCACTCTGGTGGTTCTCCAGAAATATAAATCCTATAAACAGGATTATACTAGCAAAGCCAAGAAGAGTATTTGACTATGTACATAAATAGTTGCTATTCTCTGAAATGGGATGAAAACACTTTATTTAGAATTAGATGGACACAGGCATACCACGTCTCTATTCAAGAGGGATTAAAATCCATTATTGTTAAATGTACAGAAATACCACGTGAACTTTTAATCTTGTCAGGCCTATAATTGGTTTAAACATTAGATAGGTATGCTATCCTTCAAAGTCAGCTGATCTGATAGCACTGAAATTTTGCTACGAGACCTGAAATGTGGATAGGGCTTATTGATTAACTAGCCAACATGAAAGCGAAGTAATATAGATACTGCTTGCATGTTATTCACTTTTTCTTTTACCCTGTATATGTGAAAAATACATTTTAAAATACATTTCTATCATAGTTCAAGTAGTTTGTTGATTGCTACCAATAATAATTATCATGCTTTATATTTTTGCTGATACAGTGAAACAGCCTGAAAGAACTTCAAGCAAGAGTAGAGCTAAAAATGTAGACTGTAACTGGGTACTAACTCATCTACTCTTCTGCAGTTTATACTTCTCAAATTATGAGTAATATTTTCAAAAAGAGAGGTCAGAGGAGTTAAGGTGCTGAGATGCTTCACTCTTTTTAGACAACACATACTTGTATGGCTCTAAGTTCTTATTTCATTATTATTCTAAGAGAAATTTGTATTCATAACATATAATAGTTAACATGATTCAAGTTCTGCTATAGAGAAAGCAAGTTTTCATTTCAACGCATTTGCTGGTCAAAACAGATCCTAAGGAGGAACGAAGAGTTTGTCTTGACCACGTAATCTCTTTAAAACTGTGAGCAGCCACGTTTATATTTGTTTTTACTTGTTTAAAATGCATGCTGGAAGGAAATCTTTTCTCCACAGGGTGAACAAGACCACATAAAAACAAACAAATGATCCATATACTTCCCTGGTCAACAGTGCCTCTGTGCAATGGAACTGATTTTTTTTTCATGTTTACTACATTCATTTAGTAGTATCTGATGTGATTCTAAGAAGGGAATTGTTTCAAAACAAATTAACTGAAATGAAGACACGTGGAACGAAAAAGATCCAAAAAACTTTGCATTTGCTGTGGGCCAGAATGCATGTATGTTGTCTTACCTCCAATGGAAATGACTGCATTGAAGCACTGGTCCCTAAAGGGAAGGTTAAGGTTGTCACATATCAGAACTTCATCATCTTTCTTCCTTGCAATCTCTACCAGTGGTCCACAGTAATCACAGCCAAGATTATACACCTGACTGTTGACACTGAGATACTTTCCAGTTCCACAACCTAAATAAAAGAATACTAGATCAGAAGTTGTATGTTCCAAACACTTGCTATCCCTCCCAAAGCAGTGAAAATAATGGGGAGGCTTTCCTAATTCTAAGGTTTCCTGGAAAACAAAATGAAAGCTTGCTCCTACTAGCCTAACTGCTGCAGGGTTCATTTGGACTGTTTGAAATTACATGTTCATACCCTTAGGAGTGTAACAGTACCAACATCACCACCAAAAATACTCATTACACAGCCCTGTAATAGCAAGTTATGTGTATTTCTTTGGGGAAGAAGGGTAAGTGCAGGTGGGAGGAGGAAGGAGTGGTCCTCTGCAGTCACTATTGCATATCTTAGAGCAAAAAAACAACTGTGCTGCTCCATACCAAGCCTTTATATAGCCTGGTATCCTGTTTCCAACAATGAGCATAAATGGGTGCCCAGGAAAGAGTAAGAACAGGTAAGCATTATGACCCTTTTCCTCAATATCCTTTCAGCTTCCAACTACTTTCTGTTCCGGGGTTTTCCTGAAGCCAGTGTGTCTTGTCTTTTTAGTGACCTGCAATAGGTATCTCTTCCAAGTACTTCCCCAGTCTTTGCTAAACCCCACACAGTACCTCTCCAGTGCACCCCATTTCTCTCCAAGAAGTCCTAAACCACAGCTGTCACTGACACAAGTCAGAGAGGACAATTTTAGCTTCAGATACAGACTGGAAAATAACCGTGAATCATAAAAATTCCTGCCATGTTGCAGGCACGTCCTCTTTCTGTCTTTGTGCCAATGCATTATAATGCATGTAAATGTAATGAACTGTTCCAGAATGTCTTCCACCTAAAAGTATGTCTTCTCAAGGACTGTGCTGTACTAAATTGAAATCTTTCAGAGTGTTCTTCAATACCGTATGCATAACAGGCACTTTTCAAAATTAGATTAGGAAACATTCACTGCAGTTATGGGTCAGTTGTGAAGAATAATTTCTGAAAGTTGACAGCCAAGCAACGGGGTAGCAGCTTGGCAAAGAGAACCATCTCAGTATTGGTAATTCAATTTAAAGGCCTGGAGTTATCTTTAGAAACATCACTGCTTCTTGCAGTGCTGCTGCTCTTGTTGACGTTAATGTGCACCATTATCTAGAGAGACAGCACAGGAACTGTTGGAGAACAGCACAACACTTCAGTGGTGAAAAAAGAGCATATTTCTAAAGCAAAAAGCAAGCACTATTCTTTGAAGTAACACTTGAGAGAAATGGAAAAGATTCATATTGTTAATGCAGTTCAAGGAACATATGCAATAAAACATGAAGCTCTGCATGTTGACTAGAAAGCGTAAGTTTTAAAATTAGTACAAAGTATTATTGGTTACTGTGTTTGCAGAAGGAACACATTTAGTCAAACGTACGTTAATTTAGAAGATTCATTTGCTTAATACATGGCTTTTGGTGGAATGCTTTTTAAACACAGTGAGTTTTTGGAAGTATAGGGTCCTCTCTGGAATGAAGCTAGTGACAACACTCTCAGTACTCTAAAAATCTACATTTGCAGGAGAGTCACTTTGAATGAGTCATCAGGAGGTGGATGCCTTCATGAAGCTGTTAACAATGGCCATGCTATTGTCACTTATTTTGATGAATGAAAATAACAATGCAATTAGACAAAATGATATTTTATTCTGCTACCATTACCATGCTTCATGTAAAGCTAGCAAACAGAAATATTTTAATAAAAGGTGATATTAAAAAGAAAACAAAATTATCAATTGAACATCTCATTTTGAAAACTTTGGTGCCACTAGGCAACCCTCCTCCCAAAATACATACCAAAAATAAACACAACAGTCAGATTCCTGTAGATCTCATTAAACCTCATAAAAGGAGGTACCTTGTGTGCCTTAATGGGAATATTCTTATTGGCAACTGTAAGCATCTACCTCCTCTCCAGATCTATCACATGCATTTAAATTATTTCAGCTGAAACTGTAACAGGGTGATCTTAAGCTTTCAGTAACCACTGTGATGCCTATTGACAAAGCCTCAAAGAACTTCAGCTAAGCTTCAAATGACTTCTACTGAAGTGACAAAAAATTTTGGCTGAGAAATATCATGTTAAGCTGGCTGTTGTATGAGTGTATGCCATAGATTATTTCCTGAGATTATTAGTGAAAATGGTGCAGACATATACAAGAAGATACATATCCAAAATAACAGCAATCAATTATTTTTGGGGTACTGCTCAACAGCAGCAGGAGAATTATATACTATCTTTTGATTATAGCCTACAACATCTTCAAAGAATGTTTTTTCTGATAGCATAAGGCAGATGCATAATTTATTGTGTACATTTATTACACTTTGCTGTGTAAAAGCATTTTATTAGTCTAAACAGTGAGGAAAATCCAGTGGTGCAAAGGAGCATCGTTTGCAATGACGTGCTGTATAGCACTGAAGTCATAACACAAACCCAAAGCAAACACACCAGGATCTGGAAACCCCTAAAAAGTCTGGAGGTGCAACAGAAAATCAAGATGTAAATTGGACATGTAGGGAAGACAAGGCCATAGCAGGAAAATGAGGTTTTGGTGTCCGTATTAAGGATCATAGGGAGATTCTCAGATCATAACTTTTTTTTTAACAGTGATTACATCAGATTTCTTTTATGTTAAAGCCTTGATAGGAGGAGTTTTAGAACAAATGAAAAGCATTAAATTTCAGACCAGCAGTACTTAAACCAAGAGATCTAAAGAAACTGAAATATGAAATAATTGAGCCATTAACACAATTTTTTAAAAAGGGCTCCAGGGGAATGACAGACCACTAAGTCTGTGGGGAAACTGGTAGATTAAGGCTTAGCTCAATCAAAATAAGTCAAAAATCATATTTACTTGTTACCTGATACACTGCCAAGGAAATAAACCAAATGGTATGTGGCATCTAATATGAGTTTAAAAACAATTTTAAAACATCTTTAAAACAAATTTAAACAACTTTTAAAAACAATTGCTCTGAAGGATACATGATTAACATATAAACTAATAAAGTATATAGACAATCTTTCACACCACCCCAAGGAATGGCTTACCTATGTCAGCAACGAGACTGCCAGGCTTTTGCTCCAGCAGAAAGTTTCGAACACGAGGCCATGCTTTGCTCTGCAGATCATTAAAGTAGGCAGCTGTATTTTCATACACACTATGCACGTGCTGCTTTTCTAGCTGAGTAGCCTCATATTCCATCCTGAAAACATAATGAAGAAAGATTCTGTACAACAAAACACAAACTGTTGTAGCATAGACTTTACATTTTATAGACATGCATAATTCAGGACCTTGTAAGTTTACATTCATAAAATCATAACACCCATCTAACAGCCATCATATTTATAAAATGGTCTTTACTCAAAGGATCTGATTTTATTTCACAAAAGTCAAGAAAAAATTTGAATATATTATCTTGCCTCAGGAGCACTACATAACTGCATGTGCCTATTCAATAATATGCACATTCCTAAATAAGTTCACCAATGTAGTAAAAGCTCAGCAGGAGTGCAGAATGATTAAGAACAAGAAGTTAAGAATAGACTTTCCGGTTGTAGCTAAGGTGAGTAGGTAGGCAAATTATTAGTATGTTATTTGATGTACAGCCTGGACCCTGAAACCAAAGCCCCTAAATCATACATAAATTATTTGTGGTTTATCTAATCTATGCTCTAGAAGTGATGAGTTGGTTGAAATTTTTCAGCGACAAAACCATGATTTCCCTGCTTCTACTCTGCTATCTTCATTTCTTAGCAAAGTATTTCAGTTTAATGATTCATTTGAAAAGTGGTATCTTCTTAGACTTTCAATATTACTCCTAAGCTCATGTAAAACACCAAGTGGATGCAGACACTGAATCCCTTTACATAGAATCTTACATCTTCCTTAAGATTTCCCCTCATCCAAGCAGGTCAGACTTTAATATCTGATGGAGGCTGATGAGATTACATTTTAAAGTGTTAAGGCATTCTCCAAACTAATTCAAACTGCCTGTTTATTCAGGAAATATTCCTTCCATTATTAAAACAGAACCTGTTTGCCCAAGCACTCAGCAGAGATTAAAGCCTGCTTCCAAACTTCTGCCAAGAAACTAAGCAATATATTATAAAGATGAAATTATAAAAGTGACTCCTTTGGCTGCATTTGAATATGCAAAGACTTTAAACACACAACAAGTTCTTCTTTTGCTTTCCTTGATTTTCAAATAATATACATTTTAAAATCGTAATAAAAAATGTTTTTTTCTGTCAGTTTCACTGTTGAAATAAGTTATTATGAGAAAAGATTTAAAATAAAATATTGTGTATAATAACAAATAATGTGAGCTCTTCAAAACACCTGTCCTACAAGCACAATCTTTTTAATTTAGAAAATGGGTGTTAATCCCAGTGACTAAAAAAAAAAAAAATTAATGTACTTCAGGTTAAGTGTGTGTAAGTGCCTACAAGAATAGTATGTAAGACTTGATCCACTTCACTAGTTTTATGTACTCTGCTATGTAAGAGGTCAAGCTAAATGGTCACAATTGTCACAGTCTATTCTGACTGTAGTATCTATGAATACCTCTCTTCAAAACATTTTTGTTCAATGTTTTCACAATCCTTACTTTCTTTTTTTCTGGCATGTTCCACAATTTTCTTTTATGATGCATTAGCTAGCTCACCTTTTAGTAGCTGAAAATACATATATATATATATAAAATTCAGTAACAGTATAGTAAATTCCTAGTAGGCACATTTTCAGCTTCATCTTGAAGAGTGGAAAACTGTAACAGACTGAACAACAGAAGTAGACAATATTGAAACACAAAATTGAAATTATATTACATGTGCCAGAAGTTACTCAATCACAACTTTTCTCATGAATGTCATTTCAAGTTATATCGTCAAATAGGATGGGTTAGTTGCAGTAATTTCAAGTAATTATTCCTTAGAGTCAAAAACCCATTATTTTTTTACTATTTGACCCTTAAATAAAACAAATTGGGTGATTCATGTCTGCAGCTATCTTTCTTCTCATGCCTCAAGACATACTCTATTTTGTTGTTAAACTGTCTAGAAATCCTCTATTTATAAGTAGAAATTCCAAAGACTAACAATTGTTTATTTTCTTTTGCCATGTGATATGCTCCTTGCTCTAGTTTATATCTCATGTTTGGTTACTAGGTGGTTCAGTGTTTCCAAGTGTTTTTATCTTTCCACTTGAAGCTCTTCATTCAATCTTTGCAGTTCTTAAAAAAAAAAAAAAAGGAGAATGTTTTCAATCATTCATACTGAATTCCAAATGCTACAGAAATTCCAGTTTATGCCAACTATAGAAGTAGCTGTCTGAACTGAAGGTTAATTTGCATATTTTAATAAACACAAAAGACAACTTGGACTTGACTTAGAAGATAGTAAGAATTTTCCTATTGATACAATGGTATATTATACTTTTCCTAAAATATCTTTATTGAATTCCAATGTAGGCTGAAATTTGGCTTAGTTTCCTACTGAATCACAAGACCATTAAGTTTTTCCTTTAAGTTTTTCCTTTAAGTTTTTCCTTTAACTTTCTTATTCACTGGGACTGATAACTGAGTCTTCTGCTATACGGGACATGCTAGAGACTCATGTATTACAACACTGCATTAGAGGTTATTATTTCTAGATATGCCCAATGAACATTGTCAAGATAATAATCCGGTTATAATCTTAGAATAACAGTAGTCTACTAAAATACAAATTATTTCGTTTACCGTTTCATCACAATTTCCATTCCTGGTGATTGTTTATATTTTGTAGATAATTAAGTCACACGATGAAATTAGACTTGCCAATTTGATTTTCCAGTCAAGATCCATAACACTATCAGGTTTTACTTTGCAGCACTGCAGGGAAATGTCCTAGCAATAAATTTCTTCATTTCAATGTTTACAAAAGGCAAGAAACCTATGGAGTCTGACCTGGCCTGCAGCTGTAACAGTTTCACACAAGTCTAATGTCACTGAAAACATCAGAAACTTAGAACTATGTAACTTTACAAGCCAAACTCAATACTTCTATTTCTCTTCATGAACAAAAACAACCATTATAACTTTTTTTGCCTTGAAAGTACCAGGCAGTGTCTCTGTTGCACATAAATGGTAGAAAATGTTCAGTTCATCCAACTTTTGGATTGTAACTTCCAGGATAACTGCAAAGTCTGTTTTGCAAAGGAGGTAATGAAAATCCAAGATGTCCAGAAATCCCACTGCTTCAGCTCTGCTCCAGTTCTCATTTAAATTACCTGGAAACTGTCCGATAAGCCAGCAAAAAGGAGAAGAAGAGCAGAAGCTGGTCATTATGGACACACTTTCCCCATGCTCAATTCTCTTTTCTTGTGCGGTAGCTTATGCTCCTGTCAAAGGGTTCACGCAGAGACTTGGTGCAGAGTGGGGAGTGTGCAGTAGGTTGGCACCCAGCTGTTCAGCCACTCTGCAGCAAGTCTTGACAAGTCCCCAAAACGTGGATGCAGCATCAGAAATGTGAGACTCCTGCAAACAAGCAGTTTGGGTAACAAATGAAGAGGGGGATTCTCTTCCCTTTCAGGGCTTCCTGGTCATTGAGGTTCATTCGTGAGACTACAACAGGCCCTTGTTGCAGCTGATCTATGAAGTGAGAAAACTGGATGAAAGTTGTAGTGTCATTTCTGTTAAACTTGCAGGGAAATGGATCACCAGACCACCACATATAACTGTGGTATACGAAAAAAACTGTTTGAAAGTAAATAGGTTATAGTCCATTGACTCTTTCTTACATGGCTGCTTTCCTTCTTTGTAAAAAAAAAAAAAAGAAAAAAAAAAGCAAAATTAAAAAAAAAAGCAAAATAAAAAATAAACTAAAATATTACAGCTTTCCAGGAGATAAAAGGAATTATACAAACATATGATACCATATATTTTCATAGCTATACGTGTCACTAAAGCTTCCCTGACTTCAAGATAATCTAATTTCTTCCTTTTCCATTAACTTTTTGAAACCTTTTAGATAATTAACTTTTCAAGGATACTGCTTTAAGGAAAGTCATGTTGCTTGGACATTTTCTATCACCGTCGAAGTAATAAATACATTTAAACATGTGACCTTGAAATGACAACAACCAAAAATTAATAGTCCCAGTTTCCAACATTTTAAAAAGTCAGGATTATTTCTATTTGGGTTTTTTTTTTTCCACGGACTTTTTTTGTTTGCTTGTTTTTGAAAGTGTCTGACTTGCAATTTTGACTAACTGTATTAAATACTTTATCCTCAAATGGACAAAACAGTTGCTGGCTCTCAGATGCAAGGGATACCCTAACATTGAAGCACAGGAAGTAGTGTTCAGTGCAAAAATTCTGCCTTTACCACAGCCTACCCAAGGCTTTCCACACCTTCCTGCAGTTCTTCTGAATCCCTTGCAGCCCTTCTCATCCACCTCAAGTTATCCCTCGCATCCACCTAAGATGTTCACATCTTCCTCCATCTATCTTAGCATGTGCTATGTCACCACCACTATTTTAATTTGATGTATAATACATCAAATAATATGTGAAGTCTTGACCTGGCTCATGTTCAGTTCCTCCTTGCCTCTATTTCAGGCCAGTCACAATACCCAGAACACATTCCAAACTTTTTGTCAATGGCCTCTTGGAAGCACCCTGTGATTTTCACAGTAGTCATCAAATCCTGTATTGCTCCTATTTGTCTTCAAATCAATTGCTTTTCATTAATTTGAGCCACGGGCTTTCCTTTTGTCTTCTCTCTTGCAACTGCCTATTGCAGGAATTTACTCAACTCAGTTTGAGAGTCAGATATGTAAGATTTCAGCCTATTAATGAGGGCCCCTCTTAGTTACACTCTTCACGCGCTGATGGGAATTCTCAATGCCATTTTGGATTAGGAGAACTCCTACTTGAAAGACCTAGGAAATTCAGCACAGTTGTGTCTCTCTCTGTTACTACAGCAACACAAATATTGGTTACGCATGCAACTCCAGCTATGGATGCAATAACCTAATTAATCACTGGCCTTAAATCGAACAGTATAAACCACAAGGGCCAGGTCTATGTCCCACAATACCTTGCTCTCTAGCAATAACATGTGCAGCTGTAGCTGATACTGACAGCCAGGTAAAAAGTGAGATAGTCCAATTTGCATTCTCTGCCTTCATCTACAGAACAGGAAGAACTATCTATACAG